ATGCTATATATCGAGAGAATCATATTTTTTCAATGATAATGTCTCTATTATATATGCATTGTGACTAGCATTAATTATTATACATTTCTATAAGAACGGATAGTCTGAATGATTTTTGGACCGCAATGCAAACTGTCTACGATTCACAAACTATGGATTTGGAGAAAATTAGTGTGAAAGACCTGATGAATCCTTGGATACAAGAAAAGCAATATCCCATTCTTAATATAACGGAAGTCTTTGGTAATGAATGGACGAAAATTTTTCTAGAAACTGCCTCCAAACAATGGACAGTACCATTAACGAAACAAGTGTATATAAATTTAATGCGAATTTTACCCAAGTGTTGTCTAATTCGGGAACAAAGGCATTTTCTTGCAAATTGTTACAATTCTGAACACAATCAGTTCATAATAATCAATCGGCAACAAACAGGTAAATAATGATCAAATATTTTAATGGAATATCATTAATTTATTCATCTTATTTATCAAGACTTGTTAATCAAAAAGAAAAGAAAAGATTCCTTTTAGAGGCCTATTTTTACATTAGAGTTTTTAAATCTGACTTTAAATTTACGTTGTATATCTAACATAAATTAAAATTGCCTATACTCTTTTTATAAGTTTGTTTGATATTAATCCTTTCTAAGATGCACTCAGTATTTATAAATAAAGATTAATTTTCTTAAAAATTCATAGTGATAAATAGTTTACTAAGTGGCCGGTAATATTCGATGTTAAATTCAATACTACATCACTTTGTAAATATTAAATTTTTATCATTTATAATACAACTCAATTTATTATTTGACAAAAGTATTTTTTGTTATATCTAAAAATAAACACAATATTTGATGACATTCTACTTGCAATTTAATATCACAATACAATACAATTTAATGAGAGCTAATATTTATTTATCGCATGACAGGATATTATCGTGTGTATTATAATGCGGAAAGTTTGTTAAAAATCATACGTTATCTTAATTCCGAGAATTATACAAATATTCATGTCTTAAATCGTGCTTAAATCATCGACGACATGTTCCATTTAACAATATCAGGCGAATTAGATCCTTCTGTATTTTGGGATGTCATAAGCTATCTAAAGTGGGAAATATACCATGGTATCCTATGTTCAAAGCTATTGAGCACATGTCATACATTCTGCCATTTCATAGTATTGATAATACTAAACTCAAGGTAAAAGTGATTTCAGTACAAAAAATTTTGACAATGTTGTTATGTTCAAAATATTAATTTTACTTTTAATAAATTTAATAAACTTTTATTAAAATCTTTTTCGAAAAATATAGTGCTCCTAATTAGGAAATAAATCTTTTTACGTTTCTACAATTTTTAATTTAAAATTGTTTCAATAACTAATATAACATATTTACAATGCTTTTACAATATATATAGATAAGATTACAGGATCCGCTCCTTCAAGAAATTGGATATGAAGAAAAAGCTGACGACAACAGTCTTATTAAATGTTTAAGACAAGAAGTTGTACGAGCTGGGCTTGTATTCTCGGTGATAGGGAATGCAAAAGGAATGCTGAATTAAAATTGCGATGGCATTTATTAAATCCAATTGTAATTATTAGTTCTTTTATTGTAATATTTTTACAATATCTGCAATGCTCGACATATTTTTAAATAAAAATATATATAAAGATACAAATTGTAA